TGGGCGTATACATAGCGTATTCATAACGAGTTGGACGTATACTTAACGTATTAGTAACGTATATAGAACGTTTCGATAATTTATAGATAACTTATACCAACGAATGCTTAGCGTGTTGCCGGCGTTCACAACTTATGCCCAACGATATTCTAACTTGTGCATAGCGCGCGGCAGCGTATCGCCGACGATCACGTGTCGTAGCCTATAAAAAGGCTGCCGCTCGACGATTCAAATCATAACCGCACTAGACATCACAGTATCAACATCACCGTCGCAGTATTAACATGCCAATACCATTTTTATATACCAATTCCCCTAAACGCTGCTAATACGCCATTATACGGTAGCTGTAAGTTAGAAACACGTTCAGTAAGTTCTGTGGTCGTCCGGAACACGTCAAATACGTCTACATACGTCAATGTGCGTTGGAGATAAGTTACACATAGGTTCAAAGCACGTTACTCATAAGTTAGAAATAAGTTTTGGGTACGCTAGACATTATCTCGACGTATTTCGACTTATGAGTAACTTACAAGTAACGTGTGTGAACGTGTGTCAACAATCGCATAACTTACCTACAACTTATGGCCCGCGTATGCGGGACGTATGGGCATACGCTGGCATGCGTCGGAAAATTTTGAGCATGCTCAAAATTTTTAGACAACCTCGCCGTACTACGACGTATACCAGCGTGCTTCAGCGTGCTCTTAACTTATACAAAGCTTACCCATAACTTATTCGACGTACGCCAGCGTATTCACCAAATTTTTGATACGTCCGGCATACGCTGGCTAAATCGTCAATGTGTGACAGGGCCATAAGATAAGGGCCATCGATATAGAAAACGTTGAATGGGTTCCGGGTGAGTTTAGTTTCTACTGTGCATGTAATGCATCTCCGCGCCACCATGCGGTCGTTATTTTAACTAACGAGTGTGTATTACGTGTATCGGTATTATGAACTGTTCATTGTATATGTGCTTTGAGCCGTTACAAATCACTGTAAATCATAGTAAATTTACCATTACTGTTTTTGATAATGTCTATTGAGTTACATGATGCAGCAATGCTTTACGCCTTGCCAATTTTCCTGATTATATACTCGACTAACAGCGGTCTCCGAGTGAATGACAGATGCGGACTATATGAGCTATAGGAGGCACACAGTAGTAGCCTTACGCCAATTGTTCACCAATGTTGCACTAATTCGTCTCTGGAAGAAGTCTTTTGATTTTTTTGTAATATTCGGCACTATGGGTTACTAATTTGCATTATGCGCGCAAGACAGACGCCCTATGGACGTCTAGAAAGCATAAAGAGTGAGATTGGCCTTGTCGTTTTATTGTGCCATTCCCTCAAGTGCCGTAGCTATGGTGACCAGCCCGCCGGAATGCTCAAACCGTAGCTGGCAATAATTTCAAGCGGAGTCTGGACCTTGAATTAGTGGCTATATAACATGAATAAAGTGTAGCCTATGCTGTGTATATATGAGCCCTCTCTGAGTATTTTTTATTCAATTTCAGTTCGATGCAAATTCAAACCTGCTGCCCATGGACGCCCTTTACTGCTGTACAACAACTATATGTAGTTACTATTAGCGGGTCCAGAAATAGACAAACGGGGGTAGGAAAAAAATCTACCACCAGCGAGAGTCGTGGTATGGGGTAGCGTTGTCAACTCTCCAGCAGGGTTCAGCCCCGCATGACATTGCACCATGGGAATTGCTGGTTTACCATGAGCAGTTGGAAAAATTTAGGAAGCAATGATTAGTAAAATTGAAGTTTAAAGTGTTCATAATCGACAACTTCGCGTTTCCGGCTCGTTTTTTGTTGATTCCTAGAGGGTTGCACACTGTTAATTCCCCTTCATTATTTGGACCTGACCGTGGTAGCTTCACGGGAAAAGCTGCCATACTTCATGCTATATAATAGGAAAGGTCGTGGAAAGATCAGATTAGATATTTACAATAACCATTCGTGATAGCGGAGAGCCTGGACCGTCTCTACGTGACGCAGATCCACTGCACCACCCAGTCTGTGTTCGACCAAGCTTACCACGCGACGGCATCGAGCTATAAAGTAAGCGATGAACCAGCATCAGACTATACATACGAACATCTCGATGTGGAAAATCTACTCAACACGCGATGCTGACAACGTCGCCGCATCTACGCGAATAAAACTCCCCCCACAGCGTTGATCTATGCGTCGATCCATAAAAGAGGACGACATACGTAACGATCCATTAATGCTAATCCTAGCATCGTTCGCTGACGACAATCGAGCGTTAGTGTTTCACGGCCGCTCGTCGCTCGTTTGTATGGATCTTCGGCGGTTACAGCATCAGCTAATCGTCGGGACTGATTGCTCTGCATCCGCGGGTGGGCTCGCCTTCACCCCCGCACGCACGCGGTATTGTTCCCGCCCGCGGACACACACGCATACACACACACACACACACACACACACACACACACACACACACACACACACACACACACACACACACACACACACACACACACGACACAC